ATATTATAAATTTGTTAACATAAAATAACATTTAATTTTTACTATAATTAATTTAACTGTAATTTTAAAGATATTTTAATAATAAATCATAATTAACACTGAACAAAATTATATACATAACACGTATCAAATAATATAAAAAAATTCAATTATCTACATTCTTTTTACATTTTATCAAATCAATATCTTTTATACATTTTATATGTAATCACAAATGTTTTTTATTTACTTACATCAGCAAATATGTAAAGAGATAAAAAAGATGCGCTAAATAACGCGAAAGAATTCATGATTATGATAATCTCATGATGAAAAAAATAAAATAATATTTTGCAAAGAAGTTGATTTAAATATTTCAACAAAATTTTGAGTCACATGATACTTTTTTGTCTAGCAGTTCAATAATAACTAAACATTTTATTCAACCACTATACAGATATATTGCAAATTTTTACCCAACCTAACTTTTTTTACATCAGCAAATATGTATTATAAATATAATATATATTTATTACATACATTTATTATAATTATATAACATTTATTAGAATATTTATAATAATATTTACTAAATATAATATAAGAAATTTAGAATAAAATATAGTTTTATTATTAGGATATTCGAATATATTTATAATTTTTATAATGATTTATAAAATATATTTATCTGGTTATAAAATATGCAATTTATCAAAAAATTATTTAATTATTTATGTAAAAAAGTTCATACAAAAAATGATTTCAAATAACATAATTTGTTGCAATTTTTTTGTAAATGAACAAAAAGAAGTCATATATTTTTAAAATAGAAGTAAATAGTTTATATTTTTAAATATAATAATCTATCTTGACATTTTTTAAAAAAATACAAATCGTACAAAAGTACATATTTATATTGAAAAATCAATATATGAAAAATCAAATGAAGTATCACTTCACATATTCATTATTTTCCATATTTTGCAAATTTTAAATTAGAATATTTTTTAATGATTTTTAATTACAACATAAATAGATTTTTTAATAAAGAATGTTGATCGATTATTTAAAAATTAATTATTCAAAATTACATGATTTCATATGACTTCAATATATTATAAATATTATATATATATTATAAATATTATATATATATTATAAATATTATATATA